CTGCTCCCATCCCTGACAGAAAACCAAGTCCAATGTGTGTCCAGCACAATGGGTGGGGCCAGATATCTGTTGTATCATTTTATGCTTAAATAGATTAATACATTTTATGTCTTTGTATATGAGCAGGAATATTCAGACATATCCCATTCTATCTGGCATGTCTAGTTGAAGGGCAGTTGTAAGGACAAAAAAAAAAAGAGAATCCTAAATGGGAGTTTATGATATTCCCATAGGGCATATGGCAAAGAAAATGATTAATTATGCCTCTTATTTTCAATTTTCATTTTTTTGTAAAATTATAAGTTGTTTGTATAGCACTGTTTTGTATGCAATGCCATTTGCTATCATACTACTGTAGTATGTACATACTACATACTACATACTATCGTACCACCATAGAGAATGTCCTCCATAACAGAACCAAGTTACATCCACCCACACATTTCCTTATGGACCTGTTGGATATAGTTTTAGAGAAAAATTATTTCCGTTTTCAAAATCAATTTTACTTTCAGGTCTTTGGTGTGGCAATGGGCAGTCCATTGGCCCCCTCAATTGCCAATTTATTTATGGCAAATTTAGAGAACACTGTATTATTAAATCCATCTTTAAATATGTATCACACCAATATTATATATTATGGACGATTTATTGATGACATATTCATGGTATTTAAATCAACCGAGGCCACAGTAGGTTTCTCTAATTGGATCAACACCATACATACGTCTATTAAGTTCACCAGTCATTTCAACCTGTCACATATTAATTTTCTGGATGTTACAGTCTATAAAGATCACAATAAACTTTTAGTCAAGAACTTTAGAAAACCCACAGATAAAAATTCTTATCTTCATTACAACAGCTTCCACCACTTTAGTTTAAAAACCAATCTTCCATTTTCACAGCTCCTCAGACTTAAACGGAACTCAAGCACCAAGGAACAGTTTATTCAGGAAAGTGTCACTTTAAGCCATGAGTTCAGAAATAGAGGCTACCCCAAACATGTAATAAGGAAAGCATTAACCAAAGCTGATAAAATAGATAGGACTACCTTACTGAAAGAATGCCCCAAACCCATAAAAAATCAAATTATTTGGACACAAGAACTATCGCACTATTCCAAACAGATTACCAGAATAAAAATATAAAAACTACATAAAAACTACATAAAAACTCCAACCATCACCCAAGTCAAAAAAGAAGCACCATTAAAGCCTTGGCAGACCGTGCAA